CCAGGGGTTGATTACGGGGATCTCTACTTTCGCCAACTAGAAATCGAGAAAGCAATAGCCTTAAAGGCCAATTATGGGAATTTTGACAAACCCATGCAGCTCTCTGATCAAGTAAGGTGTGACGTTAACATTGCAAACGTTAGCATTGCAAAGGAAATATGGGAATGGTGTATACCCCGTAGAATCTGGCTCACTGTTAGCCATATCCCAGGGAAAGACAATATCATCGCCGACAAGGCGTGTAGAGTCTTTGATGACTCTACCGAATGGAAATTAGACGTAAAAATGTTTGACAAGATCACTCAGTAGACTTCTGGGACAGCCAAACATTGATATGTTTGCTTCCCGACTAAATTTTCTAAAGTTTCTCCCTATGTATCACGGTTCCCATACCCACATGCATCTGCAGTGGATGCATTCACTATGGAGTGGAGTAACTATTTTATACTGATGCTTTCCCTCCATTCAGTGTCTTACCACAAGTACTTCAGAAAATCGAGAGGAACTCCTCATTAGCCATTCTTATTGCTCCAAACTGGAAGACACAACCCTGGTACCCCAAGCTCACCCAACTCTTAATCAGAAGACCAATCCTTCTACCCTAACAGACATCCAATGTACACCTTCCCTTCAACAAAGACCTACTTCATCCTCTGGGGAAGAAACTCGATCGGACTTATGGCTTGTCTATTGTCAGGAGATCCCTTGAAGGTAAAGGCATTTCACCAGAAGCTCAGGACACAATCTGCAAGTCGTGGCGATCCAGCACACGAAAGCAGTACCACACATACCTGGAAAAATGGGAGTCATTTACAAATCAACGATCTGTGGATCCCCTTTGTCCACCTATAGGTAAAGTCTTAAACTTTTTACAAGAGCTTTATGATAATGGACTTGGATATACACCTGTAGTTGCCTTAATACATCAAGAAGTGCATTATCTACACTAACCTTATAGTTTTAGACAACAATGTAATATTATTGGGATACACCCTTAATCCAATGTTTTATACAAGGGGGTTTTCAATCTTGACCAGCATTGCCTAGGTACATATTTAACTGGGACACTACAGTGGTACTTCAATAACTCAAGTAAATTATTCTGCTAAGGAGCTTAGCCTACAAGAGCTTATATATAAATTGTTTATGCTGTGCGCATTAGTAACAGGACAAAGGTGCAGACAATTCACTTAATGAACCTTAAGAATATGCACAAAGACAGTGCTAACTCATATTTGTTCTATATTGACCAACTCGTGAAAGAATCTGCTCCAAATAGAGAGCAGCCACTAGTCCTCATCCCAAGATTCCCTCCAGATGAGAGAATATGTGTAGCTTCAACCCTTGAGGAGTATCTGGCACGCACCGCACCTTTAAAGAGAGGGGGAGGAGATCAAGTTTTCCTTAGCTTTATACGTCCACTCAAGAGAGTCTCGAAAGACGCAATATCGCGGTGGATAAAACATGTTATGCATCTACCTGGCGTTGACACAAAATTGTTTAAATCACACAGCACACGAGCTGCTTCGACGAGCAAAGTGTTCGACAAGATTCCCCTACAATCAATCATGAAATCAGCCAGTTGCAACGATGACTGTGTTTTTCATAAATTCTATAACAAACCTGTAAATGAGCCCAACGAATCTGAGAGCTTTGGGCATGCCATTTTATCTGCTTCAGCGTAAACGGGTCCAATGAGAATTGTTCAGTAGAATTAATGAGGAAGGCCAGGGTTATCTGTAACCTTTGTTATATGGTTGTAACAATAACTTAGTTCCAGTTGTTGTATAGGGCTTTTTCCCCTGTCTATGCCCTAAAATTTGTTGATCAAATTGATTAAATTGTTGTATTGCACTGTAGTCTTTTGGGTCAAGTTATAGAGTGCCCACATGACTTTAAAATCTCGTGGAATCTCTGTGATAGATGACTGATAGAATTAAAAATTTAAACGAGACTTACCTGTGAGTTGAAGTTTGATTGAGATTCTATCAGTCATCTACAGAGCAGAGATTAGTGCGTTACCAACTATGCTAACGAGGAATTTGCTGACAAAGTTGGGTTGGAATTACTTCTCTAATGAATTAATAATGAGTTAATAATTTGTTATGCAGAAAAAGAAACTTGATTAGGTTTCAAAGCCCATCCACGAAAATCCGAAAACTCATGCAATTGCACGGAAAACAGGCGTTTTGAAAAATAGGTCTTATAAAATTTCCTCAAACTTTAAAGTGCCTATAACCTATATAGGATTATGATCAATTTTGATTTTCTGTGTGTTGGAGATGAATAAACAAAAAAAAATTTTTCGATTGACTAAATGTTCTCGGAGATATAACGCCCTAAAGTACGCATTTTGCCACGCCCCATCAATTTGGACGGGATCGCGAGGTCTGGTACCTAGTTGGCGTCGAATGACGTCACAACAAGAACGACTCGGCTTCCAATAAGTAAAACAAAGTAGAGCTTGGCTGTTCCTTCCAGTGTTTTTACCTTCCAGTGTTTTTACGATCCGACAGTTTGGTTTTCTCTTTATGGTTGCAGACATAAATCCTTGGGATGCCAACAGTCCCAGCCTCATCTTTAACTAACTGAGGACGATTTTACGAGACAAAATAAAATCTCTGATTATAATCCTCTGGTAGGAAGTGTGTAGAAAATATGACGGAGGTAGCCGAGGGGTTGAAATTTGCTCGCTTTCTCTTCACAAAATCAATCCATCTTTGCTTCTGGACGATTGTCGTTATGAAATGGGATCTTATGCAAGTATATACCTTTCGTAAAATCTGGGGTGTTTGAGCACCCAGCAACAACACATCTAGTCGGCATTTTCTCATATTCTGACCGAATAGTTTCCCTTTATCCCGTCCAAATTGATGGGGCCTGATGGTGTACAGCATTAGTTATCACGTACAGTGACTTTACGTTGAGAACTTAAGTTTTAATTCTCAACGAGGAGTACTTTTAACAAACTTGTCGCTTCGATTCAATTGAGAGAATTTTCTTGAATCAGTAAGCAATCCATGGCAAGGCTACATATGTTTCTTTCGAGCTTTTATGATTACAACAAAAAAATTTGAGCTAAAAACTGTACATCCCCTGCTTGTCTCTTTGGGACCAGAGGTCTTCGCTACTCCTAAGTTCTTTCAAGAAGCAGATGATATGCAGAACTTAAGTTTTCATGGTCAGTAGTTTTTATCACAGAAAAATAAAAATCTGCTAGACTTGGTTGGCGTAAATTTAATGACACGGAACGAAATTATCTAGTAGTCCCAGAAACTTATTTCCAAAAACAAACGCTTTTCTTCTTGTTTACCGCAAGTACCTATTGACAACTGGGAATACTTTTTTATGCTGGTGTTTGCGGATTGGTTAGCTGGTGGCTGAGGAAAATTCACTGATTTAATTCAATCAAACGTGAATTCAAAAGCTCTCTGTCTCAGTATTGTTTTAGAAAATTTTAAAACATTATTATTCTACTAGCCGGGTTTTTAGTATGAATAAACCAAATTACTTCGCGTAACTTATCATGAGCACCAATTCTGAAACTCTTAATAAAGGCTATAAGCATATAGATATATATAGATATATTTTTTACCTTGGTGTATGTCACAAGTCGATCATCAGAATATTGCCAGCTAAAAATTATTCTAAAAATTGAGTCCTAAGCGCCGAGCTCAGTGAAGCAATGCTAATAAAATTCATTACATTTATGTAAATTTTTCCTAATAACTTGAGCGCTATATAAATTATATATTATTCATTATTATTATTTGCGAAAATAATAATATCTCAAAAATGGTCTCACTTCATTGGTAGAAAGATTAGTTCCTGTTGGGTAGTTCTGTGGAAACAATCACTTCCATTTTTAGAAAGAATAATAGCAATAATAACAACTTTAATATTTGAACGAGCATATTCCATTTGCATATGCTCACATACGCGAAATGGGAAGTAATCTAAAGAACTAAACATACCTGTGAAGTCTTTGTTTTGAAACTCGCAAGGGGAACAAGGCAGAAAAACGAGAAGCCCGCTACGTACTTTCAAGATTTTTTTATTTAACTGAGTTTAATACTTCAAATTTTTAAGCGTAACATTTGTGTCACTGCTGCTCGAAACTTGTGACGACATTTCGTCGAACTAGAGTAAATCTACTTATTTGTATTCACGAAAACGTCAGTTTTTCTGCTGATCAAAATATCACCTCTCCCAAAGTACACTACTTTATATCTCAAACACGCATTCAAAATTTTGGTCGCATTTGATATTATGCTATGCAAAGCGCCATTTTCTCTACCAGGCAAAGTGGCGTTTTCTTAGGGTAAAGTTTGGAAATCCAGTTCCATCGTTCTTGTTATTCCTGCTAGATGTGTTATGACCATCATGATATATTGCTAATTAGCAGATACCAACTTGTATACTTGCTAAGAACGCGCGCGCTCATTGGTTAATTGGAGGTGAATATTGTACGATATTCACCTTTGAATCTCGGAATATTGAGTCGGCAACAAAATGGCAAAAATCTGCCGGCAATCGTTTTTTCAAATTCCGATGAGGAAATTGAAAAAATGAAAGTAACTGCCATTCCTATCAATACTAAAAAGGCAACGAAGTATGGCCTAAAAGTTTTGCTAAAAGTTTTGCGTGAATTTGTCACGAAAACTAAAAGTTTCTGTTTGTTTGTTGTTATTGAATTATTGTATTTAAAAATACAAGTTACTCTAGCTGTACACAAGTTGGTATATGCTAAAGGCGCAATGAATTTGGAGAATATTTATACCTATACCTCGCCGCTCGAAGACTCGCGTCTCGGTAAACATTCCCCGATATTCACTTCGCCTTCGGCGAATAATTGCTAAATAGTCACTTAAAGATCAAGAAATTTTGGAAACGAATCTAAGGTAGATTTCGAAAGCGGCGTTGTCTAACACTTGGACGACCGAATAATCATAATTTCACAAAGAGAATCACTCTGAAAAATTCAACCTACTTGCTGTGGAATGAAAGGAAGAAAACTTTGGGAATTTGAGGACATTTTTGCAGAGGTTTGCTCCAATGGTGCGTGGAAGAGCTTCGAGAACGTTGCAGGCGAACGATGTAATTAATAACACAGGAGCGCAGTGCATCGTAGTTGACTAGGATTCTTTAAGATTTTTCAAATGATATGTGCAGTTTCAAGTAGTGCGATTTTTTGCAGTTTGGCGATTTCTATGTTTCCTGATAGTTGTTT